AGCACAATCACATTGTCGAATAGGATCACCAGCGGATACACTTTGAGGGGGAAACTCAGCATGATCCTCTTCGACATGAAGCTGTGCAGCCGCTGGGCGCCGCCCTGCTCCCTTCTCTCCCGACCAGGCGGCAGAATGGGCAGCCAGACGCGCATTCCATGCGCTCCCGAGTACAGCCAGAGGCAATCCCTCATCGCACACCGTTCCAGGGTGTTGGAGAGCCAGAAGCACTCGACGCAACTGGCCAGGCAGGTGGCCAGCAGTGTGTTGGGCACACTCTCGTTGGCATCGCGCTGTATCATCAGAATGCGGCCGCAGACATTCACGATGATCGTCTCGGCCTGGTCCTGCTGTTGTCCTTGGGGCTTCAGCTCGTTCTTCAGGTTGGTCACCGTCAGGCTCACAATGCAGGCGGGATGGATGCAGATGCTCTTCACATCCAGCTCATAGGCACACTCGATGTCTATGGCGTAGGCCGACTTCTTGGACATGTGGAAGAGGCTCACGATGCCGTCGGCTGTGAGTACGATCAGCTGGTTGCGGAAGACATTGAGACTGATGACGGGAGCCCGCACCTGCAGCTTGTGGCCGAACTGATTGTCCAGCTTGCATTCAGCGGGATAGCAGCGCAGCTCGTCGGTTCTGTCCAGCAGGGAGTAGCAGCCCATCACGATGAAGCCGCGCCACCACAGCAGCCCACCAGACACCACAAAGTCCTTCTCCTGCGACTCGTTGCCAAACAGTTTCCACTTCCTGGTCATAAGGGAGTAGTGGGCCAGCCCCGTTCGCCCAGCCACGGCCAAGTGGAGGCCCTCCTTATCTATCGCCGCATACCTGATGGGCCAATTGGTGGATGCGTAATTCAGGGGCAACTGCAGCAGCGTCCAGTACTTGCTCTCCGTCAGGATGCTGCCCGTGTTCAAGCTCTGCTTGAGCTCCAGGCATTCGTCCTCCGGCTGGTCGGCTCCTCCGCTCGAGGGGAATGTAAACTTGTTGCCGCCATAGGTCTCCTCCAGATTGTTGCCCTGATTGATGTACAGGCAGTCATCGCCCTGCAGCAGAATGTGCGGATTGGCCGTCATGCAGGGATTCATGCTCAGCGCACTCTTCACAAACTGCAGCTGCAGCACGTTGTTGGCCTGGCTCTCCACCTCCTTCATGAGCATGAACAACTGATAGCCCTCCGTGGACCATTCCAGGCGGCGCAGCTTGAGCGGATTCTGTTTCAGCAGATCGACATTGAGGCCAAAGTCCCAGCTCAGCGTGGACATCAGCAGGGTGCCGAAGGTGCTCCACAGCGACAATCCACCATTGGACCAGCTGACAGCCAAAACACAACCATCGGGACTCCACTTGAGCTCGTTCACAGCGCCCAGGCTACCAGGCAGCACGTTCTCTGTGAGGGTCAGCCGGTGAGAGAACTCCAGTCCTCCCGTAGCATCGTCAATCGCATAAACATTGACCGCCGAACTTTCCTGGCCATAGGCCAGCAGGCGGAACTTGTGATTCACGCTGCAGACACTCGCATCGTCGACATCCTGCACCCAAAAGCCGTGCATGTGATCCGTCTCGAACTTTAGGTGATTGGCTATCAGGAAAGCTGCACGTCGATCGCTGAAAACGGCCGCACAGCCTCCAATGAACGGTGAGTATTCCAGGGAGGCCACAAACGAGTCCCTGCCCAGGGGAGGGAAGTTCTTGGCGGGCGCTTGCTGTTGCTGCACGTAGAAGGGAATGTCGCGCAGCTTAATGGAGGCCAGGGCAGGCAGCTCCTGTTCGTTCTCGGCCAACTCCAGTTGGGTCCACTGCAGACGCAGCAGCTCACACGACTGGGTGGCCAGCAGCAGCTCGCTCAGGCTGATGCAGCAGACGGTTGTGATGACAGAGCCCAGGGTGACGCTGCACAGCTCCCTCAGGCTCAGCCGGGGTATGTTCTCCTTTATGAACAGCTCCGCCGAGTCCCTCTTGAGGCTTGCCGCCGGGGGATCCACCTGCATCAATATGCCACTGCCATTGGCATCGAAGTCCAGCTGATAAAGCAGCAAGGCTCCTTCGCTGGTGAGCAGAGCCAGCTGCCTGGAGTCGGGTTTCCATATAATCAAGTGGTTCGTCCCATACTGCTTGAGGGACTCCTCCGTCCTGCGAAAGTAGGCAATCGGTATCAGGGGATTGGCATACCAGATTCCAAGGAAATCATCGCCCACCGCGGCCACGAGTATTTTGACGGCATCACAGCATATGTGACGTATGTTGGCACTCTCTCCGGGCAGCCCCAGACTAACCCGCTTGGGCCAGCCCACTGGAAAGTACATCCTCCGACTGAAAAGTTACTGCGCAAGGGGAACAGAACAGGGCAGGGCGTTAGCAATCTTGTTTAAATGGCAAAACTGATTTGTACTTGCGGCAAGTCGTGTCTGCATTTACATTTTATCTTGTACGACCAATTTTACATATTTTATCTCGACTAATTAGCACAATACAACGAAACAACAACAAAATATCTGTGATTTACGCGTACATCTCGAAATCACAGCTGTTTAGTGTGACCACGGATTTATCAATCAACTATACGACCTGACCCTGAGAAATATACCGAAGTATACCTTTCATTATCGAAATATACCGTAATTATAATATAATACAATTTCTGTTCTATTAACAGCCGGCGTTTTTTTCACTTAAAAATATAAACAAAATCCGATATGACCGCCTTTGAGGGTGAGTAACTAGCAATTAGCTAAGTTTGTATTCTCTTGGTTCATAAATAATTCACTTTCAGAGTTTGGTGTGCTCCCGGAGCTGGGAAAGGCCACCGACGAAGCAGACTGGACGTAAGAAACATTTCACAAGATAAATCATTTCACATTAAATTGGTATAATTGCAGCCTGCCCACCGATGTGCAGGCGGAAGCCATACCCTTGATTTTGGGAGGCGGCGATGTGTTGATGGCTGCAGAAACTGGATCCGGCAAAACGGGAGCCTTCTGTCTGCCCATCCTGCAAATTGTGTGGGAGACTCTACGCGACATCGAGGATGGAAAGGGTGGCAAAGGCGGCGGAGGCACTGCAGCAGCTGTGACACCCTGGACAATGTCCTTTTACGATCGCGGCAATGCTCTAGCTGTGACCCCGGATGGACTGCGCTGCCAGTCGAGGGAGTTTAAGGAGTGGCACGGATGCCGTGCTACCACCGGAGTGCGCGGCAAGGGAAAGTTCTACTTTGAGACGACAGTGACGGACGAGGGATTGTGCCGCGTCGGCTGGTCCACTCAGCAGGCAAATCTGGACTTGGGAACCTGCCGGCACGGCTTCGGATTCGGCGGAACGGGCAAGAAGTCAAACAACCGTCAGTTCGATGACTACGGCGAGGCCTTTGGCAAGGCAGACGTCATTGGCTGCCTGCTGGACTTGCAGCGCCTGGAGGTGAGCTTCACCAAGAACGGTCAAAGCCTGGGCGTGGCCTTCCGCGTGCCAGAGAACCTAAGCAAGGAAACGTTTTATCCGGCTGTGGTTCTGAAAAACGCCGAAATGTTGTTCAACTTTGGCAAAACCGACTTCAAGTACAGTCCAGGCAATGGATTCGTAGGTGTCTGCCAGGCCGGGTCGGAGCATAGCAAGGCCAATCCCTTGGCCAGTCCCACCACCAATGCGGCAGCCGCCAAAGCAGCCCCCAATGCGCCCCAGGCCATCATTATTGAGCCCAGTCGGGAGCTGGCCGAACAGACCTACAGTCAGATCGAGAAATTCAAGTACCACTTGAATAATCCGGAAGTGCGCTCCCTGCTGCTCATAGGCGGTGTGCGATTGGATGAGCAGAAGGCGCAGCTGCAGCAGGGCATCCACATTGTGGTGGGAACTCCCGGTCGCCTGGAAGAGTTGATTAACAGTGGCTTCGTGCTGCTCACCCATTGCCGTTTCTTTGTGCTGGACGAGGCAGATGCCCTGCTCAAGCAGGGCTACACGGATCTCATCGACCGTTTGCACAAGCAGATACCAAAGATCACGGCGGAAGGGCGCCGTCTCCAGATGATTGTCTGCTCGGCCACGCTGCACGCCTTCGAAGTTAAGAAAATGGCCGAGCGCCTGATGCACTTCCCCACCTGGGTGGATCTGAAGGGCGAAGATGCCGTGCCGGAAACCGTGCACCATGTGGTCTGCTTGGTGGATCCGCAGGCGGATCGAAGCTGGCAGTCGCTTCGCCAGCCCATCGGCACCGACGGGGTGCACGATCGCGACAATGTGCATGCCAGCAATCCGTCGGAGGAGACCCAATCGCAGGCTGTCAAGCTCTTAAAGGGCGAGTACTGCTTCCATGCCATAGAGAAGCATCAGATGGATCGTTGCATCATCTTCTGTCGCACCAAGCAGGACTGCGACAACCTGGAGCAGTACCTCAAACAGCGCGGGGGTCAGCGCTTCTCCTGTGTCTGCCTGCATGGCGACCGTAAGCCGCAGGAGCGCAAACAGAATCTGGAGATGTTCAAGCGGCAGCAGGTCAAGTTCTTGATATGCACAGATGTGGCTGCCCGAGGTCTGGATATCACAGGATTGCCATTTAGTGAGTGTTGACACATCTTAGCTCCATTTACCAATCCTGTCCAAATACCCTTTGCAGTGATCAATGTAACGCTGCCCGATGACAAAGCCAATTACGTGCACCGCATCGGTCGCGTCGGTCGAGCCGAACGCATGGGCCTGGCCATCAGTTTGGTGTCCACGGTGCCGGAAAAGGTCTGGTACCATGGCGAATGGTGCAAGTCGCGCGGTCGCAACTGCAGCAACACCAATCTGACCGATGTACGCGGCTGCTGCATTTGGTATAACGAGCCAAATCTCCTGGCCGAGGTCGAGGATCATCTGAACATCACCATACAGCAGGTGGACAAGGCCATGGAGGTGCCCGTCAACGACTTTGACGGCAAGGTGGTCTATGGGCAGAAGAATCTTAACACCGGCACTGGCTACAAGGATCATGTGGAGCAGCTGGTGCCGACGGTGCGGAAACTAACAGACTTGGAACTGCAATCACAATCTTTATTCTTGAAACGCCTTAAAGTCTAATTTGGGATTTGGATTGAGTGTTTGGTTTTTGCTAAGCAAGGACAATGTTACATCGATGTTACACGCGAAACGGGAGCAGTTGGCCCTAAAATTATATAGTCTATGGTAAAATGAAGCGATTCGGTGACCAACTCTCGCGGGAATACTTTATGGTACACACACACACACACAAACACACGCATAAATATCTAAAGACATCGAAGATGGGCCCTCGACCCACTCCAGAGAACGCACGAGATACCATTACGAGTAAACATTAAACAAAACTAACATTAAAATCTTGTGTCTAAAGAGTATACAGCCTCGGGTCCGAGTTTCTTTCCAGTCACTAGTCGGCATCCTCTTCCTCTTCTTCCTCCTCAAGGAACTCTGTCCGCATCTGCTGCAATTGCCTGAGTTGCTGGCAAAGTTGGTTGCCGAAGGATTCCACATAGCGGGGACTTATCTTGTCCAGCAGCGCATAGGGCGTTTCAAAGATCTCCTCATCATCCTCTGCCGCGTCCACATCATCGATGTGTAGCTTTGCGGCCATCCTCTTATCGGCATCGACGGTGTCGTACAGGGAGGAGACAATCTTGAAGCCGCGACTGGTTACCTGCACGCAGCAAGTGGCACTCTCTATGGTCCGTATATTCAGGTATATCTGCGTGGCATCGCTGGCCAGCTTGGAAGAGATGCATATTTCAGCTACGTGCGCCTTCACGTCGTTGATGATCGCATTTGCCTCGTCAATGCAGTTAAACGCCTTCTCCTCGCCGTCCTCTACGCTGGCTTTTGAGTCGGCCATGTTGTCAGCGTCGGCTCCTGGTAAGCTGATTTACGTTTTAATTGAATTTTGCTTAAATTTATTCAATTTTTACAAGCGCAACATGTTTTTTTCCCATATGTCAGCTGTCTGTTAAATATATTGATATTTCAATTCATCGATATACGTATATATCGTTGCCTGGTGTGGAGGGGTCAAGCAGGCAGTGTGAGTGAGATAAATATATGTTATCGTTTGATTCTCTAGTCGAGCTGAGCAGCGACAGAATTTAGCTTTTAAAGTAAAATTTGACTAGACTTGTCGTTAGTATAGACAGATTGCATGGGACGAAGCGTATATAGTTGTGAAGTGAATTTTATGTTTATGAAATAAACATCACTTATCTCGTGGAAGACGTATGAATGGTGCAAACTCTTTATAAGATCAGCTGCGAAACTAAAGTTAATTTCATGAGTCCCCCCAGCTTATTCATTTGTCATGTCAAAAATTGAATCTGCCATCAATCTGCTGCTCCAAGAGGCGGAAGATCTACGAATTGGAAGCAGCATCTCGGAGCTAGACCACCTCCCCACTGCCTTGGAGTTTTGCCGCGACTACTACGCTAAAAACTCGCCGGTCGTCATTCGCAATGCGCTATCCTGGCCGGCCATTGGCAAATGGACACCGGACTACCTGATTAAGAAACTGGACGACAGGATTGTGGATGTGGCCGTCACACCGAATGGCTACGCAGATGGTCTGGCCACCCAAAAAGGGCGAGAGTATTTTGTCCTGCCACTGGAGAAGCAAATGAAGCTATCGGAGCTGGTGCAGCGGCTCGACGATCCCATGGGTGCCATCCACTATGTACAGAAGCAAAACTCCAACTTAAGTCTGGATTTCCCGGAGCTGGCCAGCGATCTGGTGATAAGTGACTTGGACTTTGCCCAACAGTCCTTCAATAAGCCACCAGATGCCGTTAACTTTTGGCTCGGGGACGAGCGCGCCGTAACCTCGATGCACAAGGATCCCTATGAGAATATGTACTGTGTGATATCCGGCTATAAGGACTTCATTCTAATACCCCCACATAAGCTGAGCTGTGTTCCGCGCAGCACTTATCCCACCGGCGTCTACAAGACATCGGATTCTGGGCAGTTCTATATAGATCCGCTGACAGACGAAGATGGTGTGGAACAGCTGACGGAGTGGGTCAGCATAGATCCGCTGGCCCCCGACCTGGCCAAGTATCCAGAGTATGCCCGGGCCAAGCCTCTGAAAGTGCGCATCCATGCCGGCGATGTTCTGTACCTGCCCAACTACTGGTTCCATCATGTCCGCCAGAGCCACAAATGCATTGCCGTCAATTTCTGGTATGATTTGGACTACGACAGTCGCTACTGTTACTATCGCATGCTGGAGGAGCTAAATAGTAAGAAAGGCTAGCCCCAATGCTGCTGTCGACAGTCCTGCCCTGCCGGGAACAGCCCACCCTCCTCAGAACACAGTGTTACGTATAGTCAGTGTTTATTTAATTGTTATATAATGTATTTTAAAGTAAAAATAACTAAAACTCAAAGTGAAAACTAAACGGAAACAAACAAAAGATGGGAGTGAGCGAGGAAGGATTACCCATACATACATACATATATGGATATGTATGTGTCCAATGTTTTATGTGAGATTAGGAATGTGTGTGTATGTGCGTGTGTGTACGTTGGGTTGGTTATATCGTAGCTAGTCTAGACTGATATCTTGCTTTTCCACGTCCCCCGAATCATCGCCGGCAGCGAGACCATCTGCCTCCGCATCGGCCTCCTCATCGGGATTCTCGTTGTTCTCGCACTCGAGGTCCACGTTGCCATTGGAGGAGGACACATTCTTCTGGTCAGCCTCGGCAAGATCGGCATCATTGTTGGAGTCCTGCGACTGGGACTGCGACTGCTCGCGCACTCGCTTATTGGTCTGCTTTTTGGGACTGCTGGTGGACGACACTTTGGACTTGGCATGGCAGTCTGGTCTCGGATGCTCCACAACAAAGAGTTGCTCCAAATACGAGCGATACCAGAGCAGGAACTCATCCCGTTGCCGGGGTATATCCATTTTCTTAATCTTGGCATAGATCCGCTTGGGCGAAATGAGGGGCGAGGAAGTGTTTTGAGCCCAACTGGCGGCAGAGTTTTGTGCGGCCGTCGCCGTCAGCTTGGAGACCTCCGACAGCAGCGAGTCATTGATAATCGTGTTGTTGTGCGTCTGGTTGCGAATGCGCTTGATGATGTACTCGATCAGCTCGTGATCCGGAGCCAGCTCCACGCTGGCCACTGCCCCCGCCGAGGCGGCAGTCTCAAGGGCCGCCTCAATTATTTGCTGGCAAAATAGCGAAGGATGAGTTTGACACAGATCTTGTTAGGATTGCTTCCTCTCTTACCTCTTCGTTCTCTGTCCTAACAGCAGAAGCGGAAGCACCGTAAGCCGCCTCGATAAGCTCCAGGGATTGGGCGTGCCCGTTTTGAGCTGGCTTCGCAGGGGATCCCTTCTCGTCCTCTGGCCTCTCATTGTCCAACTGCAGACTCATCGCCTCCAAAGGCGTTTCGCTGCGGCTCTCTGTGCCCTCCGCATTAGAAGCTTCATTCTCCGCCTCGTTATCCTGCTCCTGGGCCTGTTCAGGCGCAGAAGTACCCTGATTGAGGGCCTTCTTCAGGCTGTGCGTCTCCTGGCTCTGCTGCAGCTGTTGCTGTTGTTGTTGTTGCTGCTGCTGCTGCTCGAATAATGTTTCCAAGCGTCTGTAGACATCCTCCTTGATGGACTCGTAGAACTTGGTCGTGAACTTGTCGTTTTTCAGTGCATTAACGAGCAGATTCCGATTGAGTTCCTCGGAGGCGGTCTCCTCGCTCTGCTCCAAAGCATTGGACTCATCCGCTGGCACTCCCCCCTCCTGATTGTAGCTGGAAGTATCGATGGGAGGAGCCGCTGGCACAGCAGCGGCGGCCTGAGGCAGATTGTAGTCGATGTATTGGGCCGGAAGCTCGAAATCAAAGCGCAGATGACGCTGCTGTAGTGGGGTTAGTGAAACGGCCGAGGTTGTGGGCTTGGCTGGCACCTTGTTCCGCTGATACAGCGGACTGTTGCCAAAGTTGACGTTCATGTTGACCAAATTGGAAGAGCTCGACTGATCGGCATCGTCATCGAGCAGCGGGGAGGCCGCCGGACGGCGACGATTACGTCGCCTGCCACCGCCATAGATGGCATTATCATTGTTCTCCTCCACCTCGTCCAAGTCCTCATCCCCGAGCTGTGGATCGTCCCGCCAGTCCCGCTTTCTGCCCGCACTGGTGGTATTGTTTAGGTTATTACTGTTGCTGCTGCCATGCTGCAAAGCGGTTAGTGGAGATGACTCAAAGAAATGGTGCTGCCGTTGCTGCTGCTGCTGCTGTTGCTGCGGCTGTTGTTGGAAAGACAGGAGTGCGGCAGCGGAGGCGCTACTGCGCGTGCATGGCACAGCACCATGCGTCGGAAAATAGGTGAGACGCGACCTTTGACGGCGATACTGCTGATGGTCCACATTCAGCTCCTCATTGCTCTTGTTGGAGAGCAGATTCTGGCGCGAGTAGCTGCAAAAGCGCAGAAATATTAATGGGTTAATAGAAAGCAGGCAACAAATTAGCAATCAAAGTGTTAGATTTATTAGGGATTAGATTAGGATTTTAAGGCTTGTTAGCTAGTCACTTTCAACTCTGTTAATTGAACCATTCATTTGCTTCGACTTACCGCAGTACAGAATTGAAAATGAATTGAATAACACTCAAAGGTTCTAATAATTTTTTATTTCTTTGGCTTCTTTCTGCCTCTCTCCTGTTCCGACCAAATAAAAACCAACTACAAGGCCCAAGCTACCACCAGACGTACAATACATATGTAAGTGTAATTCAGGGTTCTCATTACCTTCTGAAGTTGTCCCAGTAGTTGTTAGCACGATTGCCGGGCGGCACCTGATTGTTCAGCGTCGGCTGCAGTGGCGGTGGTGCCACAGCTGTTCCTCCGCCCACTGGCAACGAATGCAAATTGTTGGCATACTGATTCTGGGTGCGCAAATTCGCGTTGTTCTGGTGGATGGTGTTGTTGTGGTGATTCATGAAAATGGGTCCCGGACTGGCGCGATATGAGGGTGGCGACAGCGGCGTCTCGTTGTTGAAGTGTGTCGGTGGCGGCGGCTGTGGTGGGGCCGCATTATTGAGGAACGGCTGCTGCTGCTGGTGGGCATCGCTACTGGTGTTGTAAACGCTTCCTGTGGTGCCCGTCTTGCGGGGACACATGCGCTGATAGTTGCTAAAGGCGCTCTGATGGCCGCTCTGGTGACCACCGAAAGTGAACAACTGCTCCGACTGAGCACGGTGGTGGCCCAGGCACAAGTTGTTGGGAATCTGGCCCAGAATGGGAGTACCCACCGACAGGTTCGGCGGCGGCACAGACTCTGAGCGCAAGTCGTAGCTATGGTCCTGACATCCCACAACATTGAAGCGATCCTGAAGCTGTTCGAAGAGAGAGAGAGAGTGAGAGAGACAATAAGCACAGACCAATTTAGTATTAGAAGGGATTCGCCTTACCGCATGCAGCTGATTGGTAAGGTTATCAATCTCGCGCTGCTGGTGCCACAAGGTCTGATTGCATTGGCACACCGAGTTGATAAGCATCTGCTGGGCCTGCATGAACTGCTGAAGCATCACGGCATCGGCCGATGCATTCGAGCCGGAGGCATTCGAGGATGCGGCCTGTGGCGCAGTCGGCGCTGGCTTGCACTCCACGTTGCTGGGATGCGGTTGGGCATAGATGAGGGAGGGCTGCTGAGCGTGCCAGGCATTGCTACTGGCATTGTGCGAGGCTGCAGGCGAGAGATAAATACCAGATCAGATCACAAATCACATGAGTGGCGTTTGGACTTACCCCACATACCCTGTACTGGCGCCATGGGCGGTGGCATATACTGCGATCTGACGCTGCTCGAGAGCAGGCTGTCGTTGCCCAACGACAACGTATCGTTGGTCACATTCAAATCCTCCTCGTTGTGCATAGGAGGAGGCGGTGGGTTGTTGGTTGGCTGCGACCGTCGCTGCTCCACCACAGTGCTGGCCGAGGGAGCACGTTTGAGGGTGGCCGAGGAAGCTGTGCGCACATTGGCAAAGTACTTGTCGCTATCGGTGTCGTCGTTGCCCTCGTCGTCTGCCTCCGAGGTGGTGTTGTTGCTGTTCATGTACCGCTTCTCGAGCTCGCGCTGCTTCTGCTCGTACTCCTTCCGCAGACGCTCGCACTGCAGTCGCAATTCGTCGCGCAGTTGCTCACGCGGCGGACTGGCCTGCAGGGAGGTCTCTACCTCGGATGGCTCCTCCTCCTGCGCTGCCTCACGCTGCCTCATGGGCGTGGGTGTCGGTGTCAGGCTGTTTCTCTTGAGCGCCTCATCGCCCATCTGTACGGCGGCGGCTGCCTGCTGCTTGCGTCGCTCGATCTCCGCCTTCAAGGCCAAGATACGGTCGCGTTCCTTTTGCAGGCTGGCTGCCTCGGCCCTCAGCTCCGACGTGACATCGTTGAGGGTGTGGACACGATGGCTAATTTCGTCTGGCAGCAGCTGTCGTTCGATGCTCGCATTCTCCCGCTCCAAAAGAGCACCGACGCTCGGCGTTGAGTCCTCAATCTGGCTGACCGTGTTCAGCATGCCCTTGAGCCGTGCCATTTGGGCTTTGAGGGCCTCAATGTCTGCCGTCTTTTGGTTTATCATCGTCTGGGAGTGGAACGCACGTTGAGCGGCATTGGCCGCTTCCTGCCGCAGAATGGGCACATTCCGCTGATACTCCACGGGCACCACACGATCGGTGGTGGACACTGGAGCAGAAGCAGGAGCTGGAGCTGGAGCCGGATTAGCCGGCGTTGGAGTGTCGTCTTTGGCTTCTCTCACTGCGCGCCTGGACTCCTTGGCCGTTTGATTGATGCTGTTCAGTTGGTCGACAAGATTACGCATATCCTCGCGCTGACTGCGCAACGATTCGAGCTTGTCCTGCAGGGCCTGCTGCTCGGCCAGAATCTCCGGACCATCGTCGCCCAAAACGCTGCTCAGTTCGTTTTGATTGTGTATAAATGCGGTGAGGTTTTTCATGCGTCCCACCAGCGAGGCCATGTCGTCTTGCACCTGTTGCACCGACTCATAGTTGGGCCCCTCGCCGCCGTTGCTCGAGTGGGGCATGTGGCTGGCGTGCTGGCGCAGCTCCTCCATCTCGCTGAGATGTGACTTGGCCATGTTCTGAATGTGCAGCAGTTTGGCCTGCTCATCCTGTAGATGCTGCATATTGCGATTGGAGGCATCCAGCCGCTGCTGCAACTCATCGAAACTGGGCGCGGCATCGGGCGTGGGCGTCTCCAGGACGCTATGCAGCGATTGTATCGACTGGGCACGATTGTCGCTCATCTGAAAGTTGGATAGAAAATGGATTACTTTATACATGACATGATGTTCGAGAAATGTTTGGGTTAATGTTTCGGCCTACCTCACTCAATGCCACATCCTCCAGGCTGGTCGAATTGACAATGCCCTCCTCCTGCTCGGCGCTGGGATTGATCTCGTGCACCATGTTCTTCAGTTGCTCGGCTGAGATTCCGTTCGATTGCAGTCTGCTGCTGATCAAATTATCATCGAATTCTATCAGGGAGCGAAACACTTCAAGCTGTGGGCGAGCTCCTTCACCTCTGGGGCCCAAGGCGACGCCAAGCAATCGCTGGACAAGCGTCTGCAGTCCGCCGGCGAACTGAATCAAGTGCTCCTCGTTGCCGTTGGTTGTGGTCGCGTTGGGTATGACCACGCCTACTGTCGCATTCGGGGGCGTCGATTGACGCAAACGGAGCAAGGCCGATGACGCGGAAGGCGGGGCAGCAGATGACGGCTGATGTTGGACACGCTGAACGGGCCGGACGGGAAAGCAATAGCGCTGCTGCTGCTCCTGCAATTGCTCTGCAAAAGGGAGGAGAAGGGAGGATTGTGTGTGTGTGTGTGGGCATTATTGTGGGCTGCTGGCTGGCTGGCTAACGTGGAGGCGTAGAGGCGTTTATTTTTGTGGGCCCCCATGTATTTATAGACCATGAACTAGCGCACATTCATTCACTGTGTGGGCCAAGTAAGAACTTTTCTGAGACTTACCTGTTGGGTCGTAGCTGTTGTGCTCAGCAGCCAAATGACGCAGTGCCTCCCGCTGGTGTTGCTGAACTCCTGGCGATGTGGTTGTCGATATGGCGGACTGTTGTTCCTCCTGGGAGCGGGTCTGGCCGTTGCTGATGCGAGTTCGCTGCAGCAGATCCTTTAACCAGCAGCAAGTAAATATTACCAGGAATATTAGTACAAGAAACGCGGTAATTTTGAAACTAGTATCTACATATATCTATATATATCTGTACCGATATATAGATATATATATATATTATGTAGTAGTAGAGTGGTTCTTTGGCAAATTGAAATTCGTTGTCCGCTGTGATTGCTCTCGTTTCGTTTCTGTTACTGAAACAGTCGGCAGCCACGAATTCTTTCAGATGGTGGCCGAGATGAGTGTGAAATGTATTTATAAATCGAAAGAGAACAGCGGAGCGGGCCTGCATGCCACACTATGCATGTACTTCTAGACGATGCCAGGATGGAGGAAGCCATGGCAACGCCGCATGCGAAAATTGTGGGCGGCCATCAATGAACGGGAGGAGAATCGAATCTCGCAGTTTCTTAACTCACATTCAATGTTTTTAGTGTTTCCCTCTGCAGAGGCTCCACAAAGTCCATGTCTGGCTCTCCCAGATGCTCTTGATGGCGTCTGGAACGTGCCGATCTGTTGGCAGGTGCAGATCCTGTGTATTGCTGCTGCTGCTGCTGTTTGGGCACTGCGCCGGTACCAGTGCCCACGGAATTGGTGACCTGGCTGTTGTTGCTCCCACTGCTGCGGCCCGTATTGCTAGCCTGGTCCACAGCAAGTTTATTGGGCGGCGGCGCCATCACAAAATATACATATACAAAAAAGACGCCTTAACTAATAAATTTTCGCTTCGAGCACTGACAGCTGTTACTTGAACAAAAAAAAATACTTAGCCCACTTAAGCCCCCTCTATTTAAACAGTGAAAAACCATCAATTAAACCGCGGAAAACAATACTGTTTGTAAAGGATCCTTGTAGCTCCATCCTCCTCTTAACTTAAAAAACAAAAATGAGCAAGTCATGCGGTAAAGTTTTTTTAAGTTTCATAATATTCGTGCGCAAATCAAAATACCCACTGGTCGACAATGGGTTAATCGTTCTCTGTCCATGGTCGGAAATAATACTCCATTCAATATTCCATAAATCCTATTCTATTCTATTGTTGAATAAGAAAGATCAAGAAAACAATTACTTTCAACATGTTTATTTACTGTTATTAGCTATGGGGTTCAACAGATATTTATGTGTGTTTTGCCTAATTTTCGATATGAATACATAATTCCATTGTTGGTAAGTGGCGGCTGTTAGTCGTTAAACCGCGATTTTGTTCAATTTGCTAAGATTATTTCCCCTGTTTACGCTTAATGATCTCTTCTTTGAGCGTCCTAATGCGATCGCGTTCCGAACGTAGACTCTCCGCCTGGCCTCGCAGGTCGCTGGTGAAATCCGTAAACATATTTAGCATGGAATTGAGCAGCTCCGCGTTGTCAGGAGCAGCAGCGGTGCGACCTGGCTCTTCCGTCTCTGCCGCCACTTGGACTTGACTGCTGGCATTTGATGTGCTTGTCGTCTGTCTGCTGCTCTGACTTGAGCTACTCGAGGTACTTGAGGTCTGCACAGATTCCCTGGTGGACACATGCTGCTCGATCAGCTTTGTGGTGTCGACCATGTGCTGGACTCGCTTGAATTGAGCCTTTAGGTTGGCAATCTCATTCAACTTTTCCTGCAGATAGCTAGCTGTTTCTTCTTTGTCCTCATCGCCGTGCTCCTCCTCTTCTTCGACAGCCTGGGCAGAAGTGGCGGCAACTGGTTCCGGGTCGACTGGAGCTGCGATTGGAGTTTCTGCTGAACTGGGCGACGTAGCCAGGGGCTGCTGTTCTTCGCCGCGCCCTGTCTGCCTTAGCTGCTGGCGCTGGGAGTTCAGACGGGTGAGCTCTGCAGCGCGTGTTCTCAAGGTTTCCATTTCCTCCAGCAGCAGACGATGTTCCTCCTGCATCTCATGAAGCTGCCGATTGGAGGCGGCCAGGCGCTTCGAATGATGAATAATATTATTTTTTGTAATCTTTAATATGCAATTACAGCTTACCTCGCTGAGGGCGGCATTTTCCCCATTCGGTGGCCGGTTTAGCTCATTGACCATTATGCAGTATGCAGCTGAATGAAAAGTGTAAGAAATCTTAATCTAAATATTATATCGAGCAGATTGCTAATGTTTTCAATACAAACACAGGCCCACCACGAAGCACAGTCTATAAATAAATTGTTCTTTGTGTCGGATAGACTTTTCGGTTAGAAATGTGTCAATCATTTTTACGCTTTGCTGTTCAAGTGCGGCACTTGTGGGAGGACTCAAGAATGCAGAAATTATGTAAACTTACACAGAGGTTAGTATAACTATAATAGTACACTCCACAAATGTAGAAAATTCTTATTTAAAATGTACAATATACGAGTATGTATGCTGTGTGTATTAATTGTTTTCCTTTCCGTAGAGCGCCGAGCAGTGCACCGAATGATGCCAAAGATCCAACTGACTCGTGCCGAAAATGAAATTCTTTCAAACGATCTTGTCTATAAGTAAAAGTTCGGTCGGTGGCTGGCCCAGGCGGCGAACGTTTCAATCTTGATGTGTGTGGCAGCCAGGAAATTAGGGGCCAATGCACAGAGTAATGAGCAAAACGATATACATATCTTTGATGGGAGAGACACCCCAGAAATCCAAAAAAAAAAAGGCAGCACAGTCAAGAGTCATTGTTTTTGCAGCTAATTAGTATGTCTGCTCCATGGAGAAGACATCGATGGAATGATAAGACAATCAATTGATTGTACTTAACAGAAAAAGCCTTATAAAGGAAGAACTCAACCGGCTGCTGGGCTTATAAGCTGACAATGACTGGAGGTAAGTAGCACCCAAGCTGTAAATAATATTTGATGATGATTCAATTGTTTCGTAGGAAAACGGCTATTGATTCTCGGACTGCTGCTGTGCAGCCAATTTCTGGTGGCTGTAGTAGATGCGGATGTGGATACAACTGCTTTGCAGGCTAGAGAAACTGGGAGCGATAGTGTTCTGTTCACGGGCAACATCAGTCTTTGCGGAAACGTGGCCGACACTGTGTTCCTGCCCTACGTGGGTGACTGCAAAAAATACTACCTCTGTCGGTGTATGTGTGGATCCTCATGATAAATCGGATTCCATGTTGATATTTTTATTTTTATGCCATCCCTTAGATGGAGAGGCCATTGAACTGCAGTGCGAATCGCTTTACCAGTTCGATGCCCCCACCCAGAGCTGCGTGTTCCCCAATCAGACACACTGCTTGCCCACCTGCGAAGACTACACGCTGAGCACCTTCAGCTACGAGCGAACCTGCAACAAGTATGTCCTCTGCTACTATGGGCGTCCGGTTCTGAGGCAGTGCCAGGATGGTCTCCAGTACAATGCCCAGACGGATCGATGCGATTTCCCCCAGAATGTCGACTGCGTGGAGTCCGAGTGCTCCATCTTCTACAATGCCTATCAATTGCACTACGTGCCCAGCAAGGTATCCTGCGAGAAGTATTTCCTCTGCGGCAATGGCGTGCCCAGGGAGCAGAATTGCGCCCAAGGATTGTACTTTAGCAGCACATGCAATTGCTGCGTCTTACCATCAGAGTCGGACTGTCAGGTGGGTTTATTTTGGATGCCTTTTTCTCTCAGGCTAAGTCCCTATGTCCTTGAAGATCCCCTCCCGGAAGAAAATAGTCCAACCGTTCTCCCGACTGGCACCACGGATTGCCGACATGAAGTGCCCCTCTACTGGTGTTCATTTTTATTCGCACGAGTCCCGCAAGGATGCCTACTACTTCTGTGTGGAGGGCCATGGCTTGACCCTGGACTGCTCTCCAGGCCTGTGGTACGATGCCAAGGTACAGGAGTGTCGTGAACCCAATAATATAGAACACTGAGAAAATGCAATTAATAAAATATAATGAAATTTATTCGACAAAGCTGGATACATTTTTTTAAATGTTATTTGCCCCCTCAAACGGACTTTTTTTTGGCTAAAATATTTATAGTCGATTGAAGCATCGTAAAAATGTGGTCTCTATGTGTCTCTATTAATAAATAGTGCGTTGCTGGCCAACCCAAAATACGGAAATTAGAATCCAAAGATATTTTTGAAAGACAATTGCAATTTATTTTCTGTGCTGGGATTCTGCTTAGGCAGTCACGAACTGAGGCTCGCGGCATTCCTCGCGCTTGGCATCGTAGATGAGACCGGGTGTGCAATCCAAGGTGACACCACGTCCATTCAGGCAGTAGTAGTAGGCATCCTGGCGGGTCTGGTGTGCATAAAAGTGAGCATCCTCGGCAGGACATTCGATGCCCGCGATTCGGGGAGGAGCCTTTGCATAGGGCATGATATTGCGCTGCAGTGTCTCCACCTGAAAGATCGCGCATCGCAAGATGTAATATCCTACCAAGATGAAGATGAGCCAGCCATCCACTCACCGTGCAGTTGACCTTCGAGGGGAAGTCACAGCTGGTAGTCGCGGCATTGTATTGGAGGCCGCGCGTGCAGTTCTGCACCTGTGGCAGACCGTCCACACAGACAAAGTACTTGTCGCACAACGACTTGCTGGCTATGTAGACAATGTCATCGGGATTGTTCTGCCTGACGCACAGATTGTCCACGCAATCCACAAACTGCGGGTAGTCGCAGCGATCCGTCTGGGCGTTGTACTGCAGGCCGTCGGAGCACTGCCGTAGGACGGGTGTGCCGTCAAAGCAGAGCACGTACTTGGTACAGGTGCGGTCGTAGCAGAAAGATGTGAGGCCCTTGGCGGGACAGGTGGGCAGGCAACGGACTTCCTCCACAACCACGCACTGCTGATCCTTGGCATCGAAGTAGAAGCCTTGCGGGCACTCGCGAGGCACAGCCACTTCACCTGGAAAGGAGAGTCGTAGACTGCCAGGCGAGGAGGAGTCGTCACAGCGTCACTTACTCATGCACAGGTTGTACTTGCTGCAGTTGCTGATGTGCGGCAGGAACAGATTGCTGACCACACCAGAGCAGATGTTGATGTCGGCTTCAACGGCTCCAAAGCTTCCAATCAGGGCGGCCAATGCCAGTAAGGTCAGGCTGTAGTACATCACTGTTGGAGTTCGAGTTGGTGTTGGTGTAAGTAATAAAGCGTCTCAGTGGTGCATCCCGTACTCACTTGTAGTTCTAGTCTTTCTCTGTCTACTGGTCTACTGCTGGCTTGTCGCGTCGGGCCCTCCATTTATAGGTAGCCCTTTTTGGCAATCAGCTGCTGGCAATGTCTTTGGTTCACTGCGAATTGCAAAACTTATCAGATGAGGATGTGCTGCATGATTGCCAGTTGTAATTAGAATCGCTCGAAACTTGTCTCATTCAAATTCGGTGTGGGCCAGATAAGGGCAACAACAGCCAACAGCCAACAACCAATCTCGAGTAAGTTTCAATGGGGAAACTCCCTAAAAATATCTAGTGCTGTCATCCATTAGGGCAACACGTGTAACGGATATGAATAATTATGTAATTTGCATATCCATTGCCATACAAAGGCGATGCTGGAGTTCCTCTGTAATAGATTCTCAGAGTGATTAAAAAACCCACGAGATACGAGTCGAGTATCTGCAATGAAACATTACAGAAGATACAAATCTGATGGGGCAAGATATTAGTTGTGGTGGCATGTCCTGATCTCTGGCGATAAATCATGAGATAAATGTATGATTCTTGGAACTTTATCTTTGTTTGGCAATGCTTAGCACAGACAAATTGAATGCTCAAATGTTTGTGTGTTGTGTGTTTGTGTTTGGGGAAATTAAAATGTAGTTCTCCTGCGGGAGGCGTGTGCCGTGTGCCGAATTGAGTGGATCGATAAGATGGGCTGGCAAGAACTCATTAGACGACACAACTCTTCGCCACAAGCGTAAAACAAGGCGAATAAAAGTCCACCCTTTTTGGATTGATATAAATTGCATATTTAGTGTGCGATTGAGCAACAGTTGACTAGTGGATCTCGTACTATCCAGGAGTAAGTAGCACTCAGACAGAGTTTTTGTCCGGTGCCCTGAATAGGGCATTCATTTCTGCCTATTCTATCCGCAGTGAAGTGGCTAATGTACTTGGGCTTGCTGGTGCTCCTTTTGCTGATCGACAATGTTTGGGGCGCCGATAACGAAGACCTGGTGGTGGCTCCTTCCCCCAATGATGATCGCGAGGGTGAGGACGATATCTCAATGTATGACATGTACAACAACACCGACATCAATATATGCGCCAACGTTGTTAATGGCACCTACCTGCCGTATATCGGCAACTGTAACTCCTGGATCGAGTGCGAGAGTGAGTGGAAAGAGCAACCGCTTTGTGGGGTGGGGCTTGGGGCTCACCTTCCTCACCGTCTTTGTCACTTCCAGATGAGTCCATTAAGGAAATTGGAAAATGCTTAGGTGCCAACTCTACATTCTTCGACCCGAGGTTTCAGGTGTGCACCTATGAGAGTGAGGCGCAGTGCTTGCCCACCTGCTCTGCAAATTCGCTGAGCAGCTTCTGCTATGACAAAACCTGCACCAAGTATGTCCTCTGCTACTATGGGCGTCCGGTTCTGAGGCAATGCCACGACGGCCTCCAGTACAACAACGTGACGGATCGCTGCGACTTCCCCGAGTACGTGGATTGTGTGGCCAACGATTGCTCGGTTACAGTACAGCCCGACGACATCATTTACCTGAAAAGCAAAGCCAGGTGCGACAAGTACTTCATCTGCTCCAATGGCTGGCCATGGGAGCAGGAGTGCTCGCCCGGTCTCTACTACAATCCCGAGTGCAAGTGCTGTGACTTTGCCAAGAACGTCAACTGTACCGTAAGTTCGTACCGTGATCGGGCTATTGAGAGTCTTCATCTGACACGCGCCTGGCTCGCGTCTCGTCTGTACTTTCAGAATAATGCAGTGGTTCGGAACATTCAGCCCTATTACCGGTCGCCTCTGCGCCGCGCCGACATCGAGTGCCCCTCTGCGGGTGTCCATTTTTATCCGCACAAGTTCCGCCAGGACAACTACTACTACTGTGTGGATGGCCATGGCCTGACCCTGGACTGTACTCCGGGTCTACACTTTGACCCAAAGGTTATGGAGTGCCGCGAGCCGAAGTTCGTTGGCTCCTAAAAATAAACGATGCTAGTTTTTCGCTTTGAATGCCGTGTTGATCCAACACTCTCTTTCCCTCTTCTGGCTTACCTTGTGTTTAACTTACCCTGGTGGAGCATATCCCACTCTGAATGCTTTCAAAGCTCCCAAAGCATTGGCGGTTTAATTTGAATTGATGTCCGCGCAGAAGGCGCATGTTCCGTGCAATGAGGAGAAAAGAGAGAGAGAGAGAGAGAGCTTGCTCCATTCATGCTCTACCGCTGGCCGCTGGCAAAAAACAAAATGAAAGAATAAAAAATCAAGACTCTCAGCAGCAGCAGGCAGCAGTCCCGTCTCTCGTGAAAAGTGAAAACGAAACGCTTCTTGTTTTCTGGCTGCTGCATTCAGAGGCACAGTCGGCTGCGAGTCCTACAGCAGGGCGCGCTTCTAATTCGAGCGACGGGAGGCGCGACCAGACCAGACCAGACCACACCATACACAGCCAAAAGAGCCTTAAGAAATACATTTATTTCGTGGAGTGGAAAGTCAGCAGAAGAGCTTGCAATTGAATACAAAAGTTGCAAGTCGCGTGAGTGAGTGTCCCGTGTGTCCCCTATCTCTGTCTTTGCCTCTGTATCTGTATCTGTCTGTCTGTCTTTCTGTCTGTCTCTGTGTGTGTGTGTGTGTGTATGAGTGAAGAGCATTTTCAAGAGGATATCCATTGCGAGGGTGTGCGTGTGTGTATCGTGTCGGGTCAGTTGAGCGTTCAAGGACTTTTTCCAGTGCTGCGCCAGCAACAACAAAAGCAGCAACAATATGTGTGCAATAATAGCAACAACAACAACAAAAACAACAACGAACGTGACAGAAACGTGCCCATAGGAAAAGGCATTGAAAAGCTCCAAGGAAAATATACAAGTACAAGTACTATATTTGAGAAATATTTCAAGAAAATATTGCAGGTAAAAAAGCGAGCCAACAAATGGCTGACGGATTGACATGCACTTGAAAGCGCCTCCCCCCGCCCCCACCAGCTCCCCCACATGCAGGTGCACACACAGAACACACACACACACACACACACAGCTATACTTACACCTATACCTATACCAGTCTCCCCTTCACAATTCCATTGCATTGCTAGCATTGCTCATACGCAGCGTGTGCCATCAAGTGGGCAGGGATTTTGTTCGTTTTTGTGGCTCTTGTCGAGAAGACACAGCCACAGACATACACACAGACAGACAGACAGACATACATATATACAGACAGCCCGTCAGCCCGTCCTCACATTATTCATCTACCTTTAGCCACTCCAACCACGTCCCGTCCCGTCCCGTATCATACGTACCATGCCATCCCACCCAATTCCACCTCCCAGAGCAATTTGCCTTTGCAAAGTCACTCGAATGAGACAAAATTCACTTCCCGCCAACGAAAAATCGCACAAAAAGAGCGAAAAGTAAAAGGCAGGAACAGCACAGCACAGCACACAAAGGTTAATGGCAAACAACAAACCGAGTCCGAGTGAGAGTAAGGGTGGGAGTGGGAGTGGGAGTTGGATGTGCACACGCTTTAAAGTTAACAACTTCTGTTTTGTGTTGGCCATCTTCATGTGGAGCAGGCTTCGGGGGAAACTCTCAGCATCATGGGAAGGAAAAGGATTTAAGTGTCAGACATTGGATTTGGAATGTCTTTGGCGATGCCTCTTACTCATCCAAGAATTTAAAATGGAATCGTTCACCGCCCAGCGATTCCTCACAATAAACATTTTCAACGATTCGAATATAAATACGAGTATGTATACAATCTCGTACTATATCCATTCAAGATTATCTTTATCACCGACTGGGTGGCTGTGGCTCGATTAATATCAATTTCCGCTATGGTTTGCAATGGTTTTCTGGCAGCTTGCCCAGACAGCAGACGCCCCTGTAGCAGGAGGCTCGTGCCACAACAGCTCTCTATTGCCACACGTCGTTCAGCTGCTTCCGTGGTGTAGTGGCTAAGCGTCCTTCTGCCTGACTGACACGCAGAGAAGGCCCCCGGTTCGGTCCCGGGCGGAAATCTGATATTTTAATATCGTTCATAACCGTAGATTGCGAGTTCGATTCCCGGTATGGGAAGCAGCTGCAGCTATGGTTCCCATTTTATTTTATTTTATTTTTTAGAAAATTCCGCATTTTTATTTGCCACTGTAAAGGAAATAGTTGAAACTCTCCCCCGCCCAAAGGTTAACTTCAGTTGCTCGGGGAGCCCAGGAAATCAAAGTCTATTTAGGGTTTATGTTATTTTAGTGTACATTCAATGGTTGGGCCATTGTTGAGTGTTTCGTATTAGGAAGGTGATCAAATATATACTAGTGCGTAGGCAGGTGTGGACTATCTGCTGAGATAGTGATTGATACGACTATTATGTGGTGTGTATATAAATAGGAACAACAAGTTGCATGGTAGTGCTGGTTCTTTGTCGGGCAATCCAAACCATTCTTATATCCCTCTATGAAAGTCTATCTATATATATAGTCACACTTGGGTTGGTCAACAAAAGTGGCTGCCATTGAGGGCCCCCTCCTAAGGAGCGACACAATGTCAATGTCCGAGTTGAGTTTGCTTCAAGTTCCGCACGAATCTTAACCAAATTGAGCTGAACTTTCGCCCCGCTAGAGCTAGACAACAAAACTAAGTTGTAATCAAACGCCCACGAAAGAGAGGAGGTACTTAGGGCGAGAGCAGAGCAGAGCACAAATCAAGCGGACAAAAATCATTGAACCCGGGACCCGGAGAAGGACATGGACCTGGACACAGATAGAAATGTCAGTGGCGCCAGGCAAGAAACGAAACCGAAATGAACCTATCAAAAGGTTGTCAAAATGTCTCTTTTAAATATGTTTATTTTATTGCCTCGACTCGTGCTTGGTTGGGGTACCCGTTCCCCTACCCGTACTCGTATTTATTTATTTGCACTTTGCTCTGCTCTACACTTGACTCCTCGCCTCTCTCTCCTCCGGCATTGTATTGTATAATTTCGCTCGAGAACTCTCCCAGGACCTACTCCTGCCTCCTGCCTCCTGCTCCTCCTTTAAGACGTTGCTTGACAGGCATTGAACTTTGAACCTTGCCACCGAAGTGAGCAGGAAAGTTCCCACAGTAAAATTTGCTTTATGTTGCGGTGTCTTTTATGGTTCTCGGACCACAGTGCCTACGGAACATGAGTACACATGTACGTATAAATATGTATATGTATATGTGTGTATATCCGTCATTTTGTTTGTACGGGGTGGGTGGGACGCTGCAAGTTGTCTGTGGGATAATTTTAAAAATTTATTTATTTTCTGTTGCTGCTTAAGTGCGATTTCTGCTGTTGTCATCGTTGATTGACTAATGCCATAGGAACCACACACACAAACACACACACCACACACACACACAGAGGACTGTTAGCGACAGTTCAACGAACAGCTAAGCGACCTAAGAATGGGGTATTTAGCCAAGCTGAAAGTTGGTCCAAAGACAGGTCAGGGAAGGGGAAGGGGAACGGGTAGGGGAACGGGTAGGGGAACGGGTAGGGGAACGGGAACCAAGGAACAATCGAAGGAATCATCATAATCCATCTTTGAGTAGTTTGTGAACCTGAAGTTCGTCTTTTCTTTCTTTCGCTTTGCTCAACTTTCCTTGCCACTGTGCAGGTTCCTTTCTAACATCGAACCTTTGGGGGCCCCCCCCCCCCCCCACACACACACACACACCACACACACACACACACACACACACAGTCTGTGTGTTTTGGCGCGCTGGGGCTTTTGTGTCTGTTGTGTTGGTGCTGCCGCTGCCGCTGCTGCTGCCAATGACACGGGAAGTGAAAGCGGCCAATGAATGTGTTGTAGTCGTATTTTTTCGGGCGAGTTCCTTGACCAGGCGGCAGAGAAGTCGACAGCCCAAGCAACCTTTGTTCCTGGAAGCACCTTTAAAAAGGGGAAGCTTGGCAGGGATTCAAACCCCAGGCACAAAGAGGAAATGTCAGACGTGCCAGGGAGAGAGCGAGACTGTGGCAGAAGGGGTGGACACCCCACCTTAACACACACACACACACAGAAGACAAGGGAGAGTGCAGCATCATAAAATACGATGAGCACGTTTCCTGTTTTAGCTTTTTTGGGGGTAGCAGCAGCCTGCGGAGGACACTCTTCCGTCTGCCAGACACAAAGCCAAATGGGCTCAGATGCGCTTTGTGTTTTGTCTGCTGGAAGGGGTTTGTTTCCTCCGCACCGCAGCTTGAACTTCAAATAAGTTTGCAGCACTCAATGCCAACATTTACTCCTTTTACGATGCCTCTAAAGTAAACGATATAGGAAATAAAAGACAACACTCCCATGGTGTTACACTGAGAGAACACACAACAAGATAACTAATAATTCCTGTAAATGCGATTTCCTTTCTTTGCAGTTGAATCGTTCCGCCCCCAGCAACTGCTGCATTTGCTGCGCTCTTCCTGCTCGTGGACATGCATTTCTGGATAGACAAACGCTCGCAGCAATGCGGCTTCGGACGCTCTCGTGTGGCTGCCTCCCTCTCCCATGCCGGGAACGGGCTCAGCTATGGCCATCCGCCCAGGCGCGCCAAGTCCTCCAGCTGCAGCACCATGCCGCCCGTGCACAGATCCCTGCCACAGACGCCCTATGACTGCCATCAGCCGGGGACCAGTCGCCAGTCACAATCCCAATCCCACTCCCAATCCCAATTACAATCCCAGTCGCAGTCGCAGTCCCACTCACAGTATGCCAACAACAATTCGCTGCATGGCCAGCAGCAGCTCCAGCAGCAGCAGCAGCATCAGCAGCAGATGATGCAGCAACATTCCACCAACAACAACAACGTAAACAGCAGCCAGGTGGCTGCCACGGGAACTCCAACTGCCAGCAATAACATGTAATGTACCAACCATGAGAATAATCGAGTATATTTGAGAAGTAGACCGTAGATTATGATCGGTCTTGGCGGTAACCTTTCCCTGAGCAGCCTTTTGCCAGACGCTGCCAGCAACTGTCTGTGGGGGTTTCTTGAACGATTCCATTATATTCAAAAAATGTCCCCTGCTTTGTATCTTTTCAACCAAATACTCAAAATTAATTTGGATCGAATCTTAACCGGTTCTACGCTGCTTAAATAATATATTGTGTCACCCCAAGATGTTTATCGGACCGAAATCAACACCGATTCATAGAGAATATATTCGAATTAGGTCCCCCCCATAACGCACTCAAATAACGCTCAGCAGCTATACGTATACGTAACGTAACACGTTTAAATTACTGTTTAAAATACATTCAAGTCAGTTAAATTTGTGACCTTTTCTAATATACAAATGTACTCCATGTGCAGCACAAACAACAACGCCAGTGGAACTGCTGCCGCGGCGGCGGTACTCACCGGAAGTGGCACCATCGTGCCACTGGTGGCGCGTAGTTCGCGCTACCATCCCAGGACGCAGCAGCAGACGCAGCACCAGTACAGCTATCACCATCCACAATTTGGGAACATGGTGCCAGTCAGACACCACGATACACATCAGCAGCAGCAGCAGCAACTGTTGCAACAGCAGCAACATTCCGGCGTCTATGCGTGAGTATTCCAGATAGTCCAAGACTAATCTTTTCCCAGACTATAACAATCCAATCCTCTTCCTTCGCAGCGATGATGCATACAGCGCCTATCACCATAATCCCCATCAACAGCAGCAGCAACAGCAGCACCAGCAGCACCAGCAGCAACAGCATCACCATCATCAGCACAGCAGCAGCAGCAGTCACTCCCACAATCATAGACAATCGGGCGCCTATGCCACGCCGCGTCGCCACAACTCCAGCAGCAGCATGAGGCAGCCAGCAGCAGCTGCCACATCCGTCTTAGCACCGGCACCAGTGGCCACTGCTCCCGCAACATCCGCCCAGACGACGCACAGCAACCAGTTGCAGCAGCAGCATCATGCCCTCCTGCAGCACGCAGACTCCCAGCTGCTGCCCAGCCACCTGAAGTGCGGCATGTGCGCCTCCCTGGTGCTGGCGTCCGTCTTTGTGGCGGGCACCAAGTTCTACTTCGATCACCAGGGCACCGGTCTGGAGGTGCTGATCTTCTGCGCCTTCTCGGCCACCTTCTTTCTGGCCGCCTGCATGGTCAGCCTGTGCCGCATACCCAAGGGACTGCTGTCGGGCCGTGGCGGGGCCAGGGCAACGGTGTGCCACAGTCGCGGTGTGAACGCGGCCATGTCAGGAGCGAGTGCGTCGGCGGCGGCCAGCTGCCTGTTGGAGATGAGCGATGTGCGGTATCTGGAGGAGCGGCAGGTGACCACTGGGAGTGCGGCGACGGCCGGTCCACCGCCCTACCATATAGCGATCCTGTTGCCGGAGCAGACGGCCGCAATGGGCAAGCAGATGCCGCTGGATGAGTCGCCGCCGCCGTCCTACGACAAGATTCTAGTGTAGGCGTAGGGTAGCGCTAGGGCTTTGGATTTCGGAGGGAGGAATTGAGCCTCAGTTTGAGTTCGCGGCCCGAACCCTGAACCCCTGAACCCCCAGACCTGAACCCCAATCCCCCCCCCATGCCAAGTATTTTTGCTCAGTATTTTTCTAAAATCCCCTTTATATAAACATATACATATATATATATATACATATATCAGATATACATACATATACTTATTTATGGATATGTACTTTTAAGCTCCGACTAATATTTTTACACTTTGACACTTTCTAAATCCCGTACTAGGACCCGACTCTGACCCCGAACAAACACAAACACACACAAACACACACACAAACACACACACACACACACTCTTTCGACCCAAAGATGTCTTCTTCTACTGTCATTTTTGTTCTGTGATATGCTCAAGAAATCAAGCTATAGCGATCGAAGAGATCAAAGTACCACATACATATATACATACATATATATATATATATCTTTATAACCCTTAGCCACGAAACACGAAACACGAAACACGAAACAAGCAACAAACCAAAGCAACGACAAGAGAAATTAGAAATACTCGTAGCAGGTGCCGTAGATACTTACACATCAAGCAGCAGCAACAGCAGCAGCAGCAGCAGCAGCTGCAGCTGCAGCAGCAGTATTAGTAGGACTTTAAGTAATTAATTAATCAAATAAATAAATCAAATTAATCAAATATGGACAGAGTGTGCTTGTGGCACTGCTTGGAGAGAACTAGTACTAGAGAAAGTGAGCATTTTACGATTCAAAATTCATTCAAATTGCGCGCCATCGCGCCATCGCGCCATCGCGCCATAACATAAGGGCGAAAACATAACATAAGAAGAATTGAATTGAATTTTGCATGCTGTGGCGCCATCTGTCATTCGTGTTTAGCGGCTTGTGGTGAACTTACCGATTTGAATTTTGTGGTGAATTGCCCGTTTTGAATTTCGTTATCTCTTGCTGATTTACTTTGCAGAAAAAGTCATTGCACGGCCTTGACACATATTTCGGAGATAAAGAGACATCAATTGCTGAAATTGTTGTGCAAGATAAGAGAGGTACAAGAGCAGCCATCCATTTGGACCTTGAACATGTGCCATAAAAGGCCCAGACGATTGGCAATTTCCATCATCCACAAGCAAAGAACACACTTCAATATGTTTACCAAAGTCTCGACTCTGCTCTGCCTGCTGCTCCTGGCTGGAGCTCTGACTTTGAGCCAGGGGGAGGAGTTCCCGCAGTGTGCGAATGTGGAGCCCCAAACCTTTGTGATGGCCATCGAAGACTGCGCCTCGTACATCTACTGCAATGGGGAGGACTCCTTCAGGGACAGCTGTCCGGATCAGACCTACTTCGACGACCAGGCCCAGGAGTGTGCCTTTGACGATGCAGGATTCTGCCTCAGGGGAGCTGCCATTGCATTGGAGGAAACTGAACCAGCAGAGAGCACTCCAGAGCAGATGCTCCCAACTATTACGCCGCCTACTGGTGCGCCTGAGAGTAATCCGTCGCCTGATGCACCGGCAACCTCTGCTCCTGCAGGACGTCCGCATTGCGACTCCTCCAGCGATAGCTTGCATCCCCATCCGCAACGCTGCGAGTACTACTACCGATGCCTCAGCGGCTACCTGACAATCGTGCGCTGTCCCTACAACTATGCATGGGACTATCCCAAGCAGCAGTGCCAGCCCCTGTCGCAGGCTCAGTGCTACAGCCTACTATAGATCTATGGACTGTGGGTTCTAAGGGGCAATGGGTATTAGGGACAGTTTCTTTTCTGGTGTTTGCAGCCTCCAAGCTGGGGCGCTGCTAGCCCAAATAGAGGAGCCCAGATGACAATAATAAATAAGTATTTGTGGCATTTTAATGAATTGAAAAAGTGCATAATGAAGGTGCTTGCTGGGCGCTGGCTGGCTGCTGGGTTGGCTGCTCCCTCCACACCCTCCACGTCTCCATCTAGCGGTTCCATTTGTATTTGTCAGGCATAATTCAAATCCACTTCGCAGGTACGAAATGTATTTTCGTATCGCCGTACCCGTACCCGTACCCGTGCCATTGCGAGACGAGAGGCGGTGTCGTCTGCTGTCGCCGCTTCCACATTTTATTGCAAATTAATAATGCACACGAGGATGGGGCATGTGTGTTGTTGTTGTTGCTGGTTTTGGGGCATGTGTCAATTGTGTCTAGAGGAGAACTGGCCACAGCTCCTGCCTCGGATGCGGATGCGCTTGGGATAGGGGAAGGGGATAGCGGAGGGGGGGCACAGGAGCTCACATGATGATGATTTCCAACCAACAAATGTTTTGATTAACTAACTGCTGGGGGCAGCCAATTAATTTGGCCAAGAGGCGCGATCGCGAGTACAAAACTGCTCAGATTTCTCTTTTCTCTGGCGCTGCGCTGCTCTGTCTCCTCATTAATTAAAGAACATGGAATCGGGCGACAAACTGCGACAACGACAGCACACCAGAGAGGAGAGCCAGTCAGATTCAAATTCAAATGGACTAAACAAATGGCAGCACAGAGGCGCAGAGGAACATTTGTGCCAGCAGCAGCAGCAATAGAAACAGCAACAGCAACAACCAGAGCAAAAGCCAGAGCATAGCCAGAGCCCAGAGCCAGAGGAAAATTGTGAAGAGATGGACATTCGAAAAATAGAAAAATCTCCAACTAAAACCGAAAGAATTGAAACATTTTCGGATTTTTTCATTTCAGATGCGAGCAGCAAACGGTTAACAAAGGTGCGCAGCGCGACAGATTCGTCGCCTTTCGAATCGGAAAGGGAAAATTCGTAACGGGCGCGAAAAGTGTCGTCGCCAAAGGGGGGGCCATGGGGCATGTGGCATTGCTACAACAACAAGAATGTGAAGGATTCTTTTTGCTGAAATAGAACGAACCAATAACTGAGCTGAGGCAAATAAATTGTGCAACAAGAAAAAACGTATGGAAAAGAGTGTCGAAATTCCATTGGATTGGGGGAAAAAACTGCGAAGAGTATTTCGGCATAATAAAAAACCTCGAGCAATAAAAATCACACTAGATAAAGGCGATGAGTAACACTTTAATTGATAGCTGCCACGAGCGAGTCCATTGATATAATAAAACTCAACCTGCAAAGAGGACAGCTTCGACACCGACATGAGGGTAGGGTTCCTTGGACCTAGGCCAGAGCTCTCTATTATTAGCCATCCCCCCAGGGACAGTGCTGGGCCGCTGCTGGATTACGCGTGAATCACACACAGGCACATACAACATACATACGTGCACGAGTATATGTGGATCAGCGAATTCTATAATATACGATTTAAATACCTAACAAAAAAGTGGACAAAATTTATGTGCGCCCCATTTCATGGAACAAATGAAAGTTAAAGAGCAACAAAAACAGCAGCGAAATGAGCCTGGGAATGTTCTTTCGCTTTAATGTTGTTCATTTTTGCTGGCTGGGGAGGCGGTGGTGGCTGCGGAGGTGGAGGGACAGCAGTCAGCGAGGCGGATGAGTGATTATGTGTAAAATATTACGCATCAACAGAACTGAACCAACCGGTGAGGAGATCTCCGAAGAGATCGAAGCGATTTCGAGGTAAAGTGGAATGAAATCTCTGACGATGGCAATGGGAATGGAAATGGCGATGGCGATGGCGATTGCGAGACAAAAGGCAGCCCAAGGCACTTGGACAACAAATCAAAATAGACAGCCTGGCGAGAGCGTTTAGCACAGATCTTTATTTTTTGGATGGCTATTTAAAAACTACAACAGCAGCAACAGAAGCAGAAGCAAAAGTAGAATCAGAATCAGAAAAGCCGAGAAAAGGCTAGGAAAACTAATTTCGGAAAATCAAGTAAAAACTGAGCGAAATACCAAAGAGTTACGGAAAAGAAGGCTGGCTGCCTTGCTGCTGCCTTCTGCCTTCTGCCACGACACTTTCTTGTGTGAACGAGCGCCAAAAAGGCCGCACCACCACCACCCCCTTTTGACAGCGCCGCACCCAGCACCCAGCAAACAGCAAACAGCAACCAGCCACCCAGCAACCAGGCATTGTGCCCCATCAGGCATCAGGCATCAGGCAACCTCCACACCATCCATCGTCTCTCAATACTCGTAGAGCAGTGCAGTGCTTAGATGCGATTCGGTCTCATGTGCACACATAATGGAATGAAGAAAATTCCGTCCCGTCCGTCTACAGCAACAGCAAAAGCAACAGCAACACTAACACCAGCAGCAACAATTGCATGCTGGGCTGCCAGAGATGTGGACACCAATACGGACACGGGCACGGACACAGACTCGGACACGGACACGGACTTGTCACTTTGGGTTGTTTTTCGGTGGAGGGGGGGGGAGGGGGGGGTGAGAGCCTCCAATGGATTGCAGTGCAGCATAGAACGAGGCAAAAGAGATCTTAAAAATAGCCCTCGGACAAAAGTCTGATGAGATCTGATTGTAGTGGCCACTACCCCAGCCCCATCCCATCCCCATCCCCATCCCATCTAGCATACCCAGATCCGAACAATGGAAATTGCCAAATTTATAGTGCACCCAGAAACCCACAAAAGCAACAACCAACCAACCAACCAACCGACAACCAACCAGAGCAGTCCCAGACCAGGCCAGGCCAGCCCAGCCAAGAAAACTTATTTTATTTAAATAAATTGAATTTAATTGCCAGCAGGCAAAACACGAAACAATCTCTTAGGTGCTGTGTGTGCGTGTGAGTTTTTATTGTAATTTAGATTCGTCAACTGTGCGATGCGACGCGACGCGACGCGACACTCTCTCCCTCTCCGTCAATGGCATCCGTGATGCCTGGGTGATTGTTTTCTTGCCCAACAATGCGCTGACAGATATAAATTGTGGGGAATATGTAGATTCATATCCATGTATATCTGTGTTAGAGACAGATGGATCATATTAAGGCATATCCTTCCACTGCCTAGACAGATAAAAAAGGAAATTAAATGGAAAGGGAAAGGGAAAAGAACATCCAAATCGATAGAGTAAATTTAGGATTATCCATCCATCCATTCCAGATAGAAACGGTGCCTTGCCCGAATCCCCTTGGCATGCCGCGGCGTATGAGTAATAAACCAACTGCTACGACATAGTACGTATACGCCGCGTGGTGCTCGGGTGGGCCTATTAAAAAGCAACGAAATAAAACGAAAAGCCAAATATTGTATGGCGGAATGAAACGACACGAAAAGTGTGTGACAAAATGTTCAATAAATAAACAAGCCAAAAGGCAAACAAACAAACAAATTATGAGAGGCGCAAAAACAAAAACTGAGTGAAAAGCGAGTGGGCAACGATGAGCAGTGGCGAAGATTACCACCCCTCATCATGCATATGAATGAAAGAGTAATTGCTATACATTAGAGACTAATGAATGAACTTCTCCCCCCCTCTTGCAGCGGACCTACATATGTGATCCACACCAGATGAATTATGGAACATGTAAATACCACAAATGCAAGACTGCACCACCAACAGCACCAGCAACAGCAGCAGCATCTGCAACTGCAGCAGCACCAGTTCGAGCAGCATCAGCAGCACAATGATAACCAGCAGCAGTTCTGCCTCAGGTGGCACAATCATCAGGTAAGCGGAAGTCCCGAAGCTACCAGTACCAGTAGAGCTGGCAAAGGATCATTTGAAGATTTCTGGGCACTAAAATAGATGCAACAGCTATGAATATGGATTCCTTCTTTGGCAATTTCTTTAAAGCTCGTTTAGTTTTGATCTTATCGCGTCCTTTAACTCAGTCAGAACATTGTCCAATGCCTGCAAGTAAAGGAAATTGAATACTAATTGACTCTTTCAATGAGAAATGCCAGTGCTACCCTCTCTGTCTCTCTCTCCGCTGTATTATCTGGGGGCTTAGCGACGCTCATAAAAACTGGACTGGACATCGTTCGGTATGGTCTGGTCTGGTCTGGTCTGGCGAACGAAATGTCACCCCATCTATATATAGAGGAACCATCCATCCAAAAACACACACACCACACCACACCCCGCCCGATCCACATACAGATTCACACATAGTTTTCCGCATTTTCATATAGTGACAATTTTGTGTTGTCGATGTTTACTACAGCAGCAGCAGCAGCAGCAGCAGCCCAAAGGCTGTCCAAAATAGCAGCGCTAGGAAAAAGATGCTGGGTTGGTGGAGGGGGGTGAGGGCTGGTGCGGGGAAAATGTCAAATAAATGAAAAGCTTCGGGGTACAATTGCCAAAATCCAAAGAATTTGCAGCCAGCGTAAATCTAAAAGTTAGACTGCATCGAATGCAGATGCAGATGCACAAATCCTCTCCCTAGAGGCAGATTCGTCTGTCTGCCTGCCCTGGGCAAGTGTATTTTTATGATTTTGTGACCCAGTTGCTGCTCTCCATCTCTCTGGATGGCTGATGATCTCTTCCAGACCAGTTTGCTGAGCACTCTGCCCGTGCTGCTGGACCAGTCGCAGCTGACGGATGTGACCATTTCGGCGGAGGGACGGCAACTGCGCGCCCACCGGGTGGTGCTGAGTGCCTGCAGCAGCTTCTTCATGGACATATTCAGGGCCCTGGAGGCCAGCAATCACCCGGTGATCATCATACCCGGCGCCAGCTTCGGGGCCATTGTGTCGCTGCTCACGTTCATGTACTCCGGAGAGGTGAACGTGTACGAGGAGCAGATACCCATGCTCCTCAATCTGGCCGAGACGCTGGGCATCAAGGGATTGGCGGATGTCCAGAACAACAATGTGAGTGTGGAGATTCCAAATAAATTCCCGAGTCCCTCTTCTAACATTGACTTGACTCTCCGGCAGCTTCCCAAGACAGCGAAGGGCGCACCCCACTCCTACATGGAGCCACCGCACGAGAAGTCCTCGGAGTTCGAGCATCGTGGCACACCATCGCCGGCCCCTACTCCCACGCATACGCCCACACCCACACCCACCTCCACTCCGAGTCTGCCGCTCCCGCTCCCGCTGCCGCAGCATACCAGCCCCGCTCTAAGCACCCCGCTGCTGGCAAACAAACTGGGATCGGTAGGGGCGGCGGCGGCGGCGGCGGCGGCGGCGGCGACAGGCCCTATGATCGCCACCTCCCCGTTGGAGAACCTGTTCAAGTCGCTGCAGTTCTATCCGAGCCTGCTGCCGCAGCCGCTCAACTTCTCGCAGACGGCGCTGAACAAGACCACGGAGCTTCTGGCCAAGTACCAGCAGCAGTGCCAGCTATACCAGAGCGGGCTGCAGGAGGAGGACGACTGCTTCGGGGCTGCCAAGCGGCTGAAGGGCGACAGTCCGCCGAAAGAAGTCAAGCGGCTGGACAAGATGGGGAAGAGCCTGAAGAGCTCCGCGAGCAACATGAACAGAAGCCCCACCGAGTGCTCGGTCCCCAATCCGATTGTGGCCACCTCACCCATCACTCTCGCGCCCCCGGCCATGGCACACTTCTCGCCCCAGTTGCCGGTGGTCAAGTGCTCCTCCGCCAGCTACTCAAATCCCCTAACTCCCAACCACATGTACACCACCAAGCCTCCGCTATACAGTTGCGCTGTCACGCCCACCGCCGCCCAGCAGGCGGCACAAATGCACCACACCCAGGCAGTCGCCTCGACGCCCTACATCTCGGCAGAGGATCACGCCAAGCTTCAGCTTCACATCGAGCAGTATCAGCGGGAGGCGGCCGCAGCAGCTGCAGCCGGGGGCATGGCTCTGGTCAGCGCCAAGTCGGAGCCGAATCTGCTCTCCCTGAGCGCCGACCGCGAGAAGCAGCTGGCCTCCGCCCCCATCAAGCCGCCGTCCAACTCCAAGCTCTACGCCACCTGCTTCATCTGCCACAAGCAGCTTAGCAACCAATACAATCTGCGCGTTCACCTCGAGACCCACCAGAATGTGCGGTAAGTAGTGTTGGGAGAGGGCTCTCAATTCCAGCTTCGACTTCCCATATTTGTCTGCTCGGTAAATGGAAGACATTTAGAGATTCTGTTCATTGAGCTGTTATTGAAATTTGAGTTGAAAAAACAATTTAAGCTAGAATATAGACTCTTTATTCTTCTCTCCACAGTTACGCCTGCAACGTGTGCTCCCACGTGTCCCGCAGCAAGGATGCCCTGCGCAAGCACGTCAGCTATCGCCATCCTGGTGCGCCGTCGCCCTGCGAGAACGAAGCGCGACGCAAGCGAGTCTCCAAGCTGTCAACTAGCGCGGCCACGCCCACGCCCAGCCACACGATGACCAGTGGCGATATGGTGGGTGGAACAGGACAGGGACAGGGCTCAACGGTATGCCCTGGCGAAACAGTGCCCAGTCCGTACCTCTTTCTGCCCAATCAGTTTCAAATGGCGGCAGCTGCAGCTGCCGTGGCGGAGTCCTCTTCGAGTGCCGGACCCGTCTTGGATTTGGCTCCCGAGGCGCCGCTGGACATCAAAAGCGAACGGGAGCCGGCCGCGGCGAGCAATGGGGAAGCGGGAGACGGCGAAACAAGTGCGCCGGTGGCCACTTAGTGGCGGATATATTCTAATTTCAAATGTTGAAAACGGCTCAAAACGCCGAGCACAAATGCACTCACAAACACACAGACACTGGAAGCACCCACACGCACATGCATATTCATATGGAACTTTTTATCCCCAAACCAACAAACAAAAAACAAAACCAACGTCTTAGACCCGGCTGTGATACTTAGCGCAATTCGTTTTTTCGTCTTCTACACACACACACACACACACGCACTCACACACATACATACTACACTATTTAATTGATTTATTATAATTTATTATTTTAGTACAAATTTATATTTCGTTTGGTTTCGTTGAGCTTTCAGCAGTAAACTGCCACCAACGAGGCTATCAAATTCACAAATTTCACTTCCCCTTTCACTTTTGCTCTCTCTCTCTCTTACGCTCACACACGGACACACTCTCGCACCTACACATTCTAGTAAATTAAGTAAAGTTTTTTATAAATATTGTAATTATACAGCAAAACACACACACACACACACACCACAGCACACCACACACACTTGCACACAAAAAGACAAGGCAAAGGACCTACTAAACCAAAATGAATAAAATGAAAGAATAAATTTATAAGATGCCAAAAGATGATGGATGTGTGTGTTTATAGGCTTATAGGCTATAGAAGCTGATCCGATCCGATCCGATCCCATCCCAGGAGATCCCACAGAGAGTACAAAGGGTTATGCAAAAACTAGTATATTTCATTTCATAATACAATAATTTATGTACGCTGGCGTACTTTACATAATTTATCCTTGTGTTTTTCTTTTAATTGTAGTAGTACAAGATACATATAGTATAAAAGGAAGTTGTTCAAACAAGGAAAACACAATCTAAACACGCTGAACGGGTCGGGTTGGCAAAACAGATCTGTATCAATGATATGATGATTAGCAAAACACTTTTGGACTTAAATTTAAAGACGACACGACATATGGGGGGGGGCGGGGCGGATAATTGTAGGGAGATAAATAGCTAAACGTAAACTGTTGCACTGAAATGAAATGAAGCCAAGGGGCCACTGACAGAGGCACTCCATGGCCCCTATTGGATAAGTATAAAAATATGCTTGACTCTCTCTTAGCGCCCGGAGGGTGATCTAAATAGTTTCCACGTGCCACACTTTGACGTTGCAGTCTTGGCCAGTTGAGATCACAGTGTTGTTGTCCAGCCAGACCAAGCGAGTGATCTGCGACTGCGGATGGGCATCTGAAGGGAATGAATATTCATTAATAAGTATCCACTTACGAGTATATAATTACTCACTCTTGATGATGGTGTGCTTGGCTGGATTGGTCACAGACCAAATGATAATGGTGGTGTCCAAGGAGCCACTGGCCACCAGCAGTGAATTGGGCGACCAGGCCACCGTATTCACACGAGCACTATGGAAGCCCCATTCCTTGTTGTGAGCAGGCTGAAGGCAATAGAAGAAGAAGGCAAAACGATAAGTATCTGAAGATAAACGCCTCAGTCTGCCAATCCTTACCTTGTATTCCTCCACCGAGTAGAGCACCACCTTGCGATGGGCATCGCAGGCCACCAAATACTTCAGATCTGGGGAGTAGGACACATCTGTAACTGCGCCCAGGTGGTCCAGCTCAGCCTTTAGCTCCAGGGCACCATCCTTCAGGCTGTAAATGCGCAGCTTCTGATCATCGCCTCCCACAGCCACATCAGAGGTTTCAGAGTTGACGGCTATTGAGCTGGCCTCGTACTTGATGGGCAACGAAAAGATCTTCTTCTGGTCCTGCACCAGAGTCAGCTCCTTGACGCAAGCCAGGGCAACGATATTTTCGCTGCGCAAAATGGCCAGTCCGCGCGGCTGGCAGTTGAGCTTGACCACGTAATCCGTGTAAGAGTTGCCCTCCACACTGAACTGGCGCAGGCTGTCGTCGATACCGCAAGTGTAGACAAAGTCTCCCCAAGCAGCGATGCCGTTGATCTGGTTGCCGTGTCCGGTGCCCGCGATGCGGTCGTTGACGCCGCTGCCTGAATTCCAGTTGGTCACGACGCCGTCGTGGCTGCCCGTGTAGATGGTGCTGCGGTCGTCGCTCAGGCCCAAGACAGTGATGGGTTTGTTGTGGCCCTTGACCACTCGCAGAGGCTTGCTGGGATCCTCCACGTTGAGGTATGTGATTACGCCCGACAACGACACAGTTATCAGGTTGTCCCCCTGCCACAGGCAGCTCACCTGCTGATCATCAACAGTCGCGCCCATCACAAACTCGCTGATCAGTTCGCGGGACTCCACCTGCCAGAGGCGACACGTCTTGTCGCCGGAGCAGGTCAGAAGCTGCGTGCCGTCTGGCTTCCAGGCCAATGCATACACTCCGCCCTTGTGAGCGGGCGATCCGAATTCGCCCACCAGCTCGGAGCTGGTGCCGTCGTAGATAAAGACTTTGCCGTCGAAGCCGGCCGAGGCAAAGAATTTGCCATCGGGCGAGTAGCGAACGGCCTGGACAAACCGAGAGTGGTCCTGCTTTGTCATCTTGAACTTGAACGGTGGTCCCTCGAACACGGCCACCGTGTTGTCTTCGCTGCCTGTGGGTCGGAGAGTTTTTAATTAGTAGGTGAGATTTCTCTCTGATTTTATTCGTACCCACCAGTTACGATGCGGAAAGGCCTGGCCGGCCTGAAGTCTGCCGAATTGATGGACTTGGACTGGCCACTGATCTCACCCACCGATGTGCCCGTCTCCGACATGAAGACATGACCAAAACGCTCACGTCCCTCGCCGACGGCCACTATTCGCTGGTTGTCTGGCGACCAGCTGATGTCCTTGATGGGTCCGGCTATCGGCTGGAACTCATTCTTCAGCAAATGCTCCTTGTTGACCGTGTCCCAAATGCGTATCTTGCCCGAGGCATCTGGAGTGGGTAATAAGAGGGGATTTTTGAGTAACCCAAACCAAAACCGAAACGAACCGAACCGAAAGAAAAATAGCAAAGATAAGATAAAGAAACCCAGTCGATAGGCACTAAATATGGTTATGTTAATGATGGGCTACACAGAGAAACGAAACGAACGCTTATGGTGAGACGTTGTGGTGACTCATGGCTGGTCTTGATACGGCTTCTGCATGCTCCACTGCGTGCAGCGGAGACTCCAAGCCAAGTGTGAAGTTGCAATGGGTACACTTACCGCCAGATGCAATGTAGAAGCCGCTGGGCGAGTACTTGGCCACGTTCACTGCACACGAGTGTTCCGTGTAGACATCGGCGATGGCTGGGTTCTACATAGATCGAGAGCACAAAGAAGTGGTGGAAAATTGTTGAAAATCACTTTTACAATCACTTTGTTGGGACAGCAAAACTGAGTTCTCAATTAGTAAGCGACCCGAACATCATCATAATGATGATGATGCTGCGTGGGCGGCACAAACAAGAACATTTCTTTGCCTGTCTCTTCATCTGTGTGCGAGAGTGTGGATGATTTTTGCCGGCCTGAGGAATAGGCTGAGGATGACTACACGGCGTATATTCTATAAAAATAAATATAGAACAGCTGCCAGCAGCGGACAAGCACAAACACAAGCCACACACACAAACACAGATGCAGGAGAGGAATAAGACCAGAAACTGCAGCTGTCCAAAAATAAAACATTCCGCATGGAAAATGCCATAGATTATGATGACAGGCGGACAGGCAGGAGTACGAATATGCTGCGTAAAATATCAACTTACCTCGATATTTCTGATGATCACCGAATGGCCATTGGCGTAGAGGAAGTTCTTGCCCTTGGGATCGGCCCCCAACACAATGGGCTGGCCGCGTTGGGTGCGCGGCAGCGTTGCATAGGTATTTTCTGCAATTGAACGAACCGTAAACTTTAACAACGACAATAAAAGCGAACACAAAGCACAGACACAAAATATTTCGCAGATGGACGAAAAACAGGGTGCGGCCTCCTTATGCCGGCCGGCGGCGTTGTTTTCTTTTTTGCATGCAGACATGGAGGGGGAGATAGACGCCGCTGTGGCTTTTGTCACCCTCCCTCCCACTAATCAACGCTCGCCGACAAGAACAGCTCCTGCCCATTTATGGGCATAATCGTGGCGCTTCCGGCGATTGCTTTCTGCTTTTACCGTTTTCGCTGGTTGACTCATTCCCCAGTGGTCACAGTCAGTTGGTGAAATTTTCAAGCACCTAATGCGCTAATACTCTTGGCAGGCACACTCACTGTTTTCATAGGCTGGTGGTTGAGGTTGAGCCATTGCGGGTAGTATAACTTTGTGCTTAAGTTTAATTGAAGACTTTTTTTAAAAATGAAAACACAGGGCAAGAGTGCGACCGTGGAGGTATCAATCAAATATACCGCCTGACCCTAAGAAATAAACCGAAAAATACCTTGTCATTACCAACATATATCGACAATATACTAACAGATACGACAAGATGCGTTGGATATTCCTCGATTGGGATATTCCGTTTAATATTACTAGCTAGTCTGCCCACTTAGCCCAAAAAAAATAATTTTAACCGATTCATCAATCAATTTTGTAAAGGGCTGGCTAGTTTTCAGAACTCTTCTTCGTTGGATTGTTTACATAATAGCGTTCAAACAAAAACGGCCAAAGCATAAAAAGTCAGTGTGACCGTGGATTTATCAATCAGCTCTACCGTTTGACCCTAAGAAATATACCGAAAAATAACTTGTAATTTTTGCGGTTTTTTCTTGTTTCTCGCTGTATTTCTTTTTTTAATTTTCTGCTTCCACTTTCCACCGCTCAAATGGCAGAAAACCGTTAAATTCAAATCTGAGATACCAGGCGCACAGAAATCAGCAGAAGGTCGCTGCTTTTTTTAAATTCTCGTTTTTTCTGGTTTCTCTTTGTATTTCGTGGTTCTCTCTTTTCGCTCTTCTTTTTCTCATTTTCTGCTTCCACTTTCCACCGCTCAAATGGCAGAAAACGGTTAATTTCAAATCTGAGATACCAGGCGCACAGAAATCAGCAGAAGGTCGTTGCTTTTTTAAATTCTCGTTTTTTCTTGTTTCTCTTTGTATTTCGTTGTTCTCTCTTTTCGCTCTTCTTTTTCTCATTTTCTGCTTCCACTTTCCACCGCTCAAATGGCAGAAAACGGTTAATTTCAAATCTGAGATACCAGGCGCACAGAAATCAGCAGAAGGTCGCTGCTTTTTTTAAATTCTCTTTTTTTCTTGTTTCTCTTTGTATTTCGTTGCTCTCTCTTTTCGCTCTTCTTTTTCTCATTTTCTGCTTCCAGTTTCCACCGCTCAAATGGCAGAAAACGGTTAAATTCAAATATGAGATACCAGGCGCACAGAAATCAGCAGAAGGTCGCTGCTTTTTTTAAATTCTCGTTTTTTCTTGTTTCTCTTTGTATTTCGTTGCTCTCTCTTTTCGCTCTTCTTTTTCTCAT